GCCAATACTATCTTTCTAAATATTATTTAATGACAAATTAATTAATGTATTATGCTTAATTGATTGAAAGCGGTCTCGAAACGTAACACACACAAAAAAGGAAGGGAGGGAAAGCCAGTCTTCTGACAGTATAAAAGGTTAATGACAAGAAGTGGCACCATCATGTCAAAAGCACAGATTTTAGAATATAATGTAAATATTATCTATTTCAATTAAATTTTATTTATTTATACCAATCACCAGCTTTTTGCTCCTCTGATTTATAATCATCACAATAAGGTTTAGCATGTAACAAACATTATTAATATGTTTGATTTTGAAGACAGAATTTTCATGAAGCCTATGTCCACCAATGCAGAAAATAAACATTTAACTGTGGCAGTAACTGACAAATTTGATAAAGATTGATATATAAAATTTATGTATTTCATCTTTCAAGCAATTCAACAAACAATTGAATAAATGTACTTTTATGCATGTACATCGTTAAATTGCATTCAATAGCGGTCAAAATGGATATTTTCGTTGAAATATGCTACTGTTCGATGTTTTCAATGTTTTTTACTTCCTTTTTACTTCGTACAAGGAAGTAAAAAACATTGAAAACAATATGCTATACGAACTGCTTCATAAATAAAATTAAAAAACATGAAATTTGTTTTATTACCATTTAAATGCATAATTATTAATAGAATCTGAAACCAAATTTTCACTTAGCTAAAACAATTCTTACACTACACTATTTTTTTAATAGAGTCAAAAGTCGTTAATCCGGACTCGACGGGACTTCGGCGATTCCGGATTATCGATTTTTCCGGATTATAGATCATCAGTTTAAATCTCGTAAGATAGCATGCAGAAATTATAAAATTAAAAATATGAAACCGTAATTTATGAAATAAAAAAAAATTATGATCTAAAGGGTATCAAAATTTACAAAAAAAAAGCTTAATATTTATTTGTTTACTTTATTAAACATTTCTTTCAATGTAAGTTGTTTAAGTTGCTTCATTTTTAGTGACTAATACTTTCTCTTTAATTCTATAAACAGACATAATTTCTTTTCAGTTACAAAGTTCCGCTGTTTCAAGTCCCGTTAATTGCTTGCTGTGCCGAGAATACCGACTAACTGGTCAATGGAAATTTTTTTCGTTTTCACTAACCTCTCTGTCACATTCTCATGTCTTTATCCCATGTCTTTCATCAATTTCACTTTTTGTTTGATGGACATGGAAACATACTTTCGCTTTGTATGATCCTTTGGGAAGTTCCAGAATCGGAAATTCTATTTGACATAATCGAAAGTTCAAGTTTACTTTTATAGTATTGCTGTTACAGTCTGCAAAAAAAATATAAGCGGATCCAATTCGAAGATTAAGGAACAACGCAATCATCAACATTAACTGAAATAGATAATTAGATAATTTTAGCATATACCGTCCCTTATACATAAAACGCACATGCGAAAACGTATTCTGCGCTTGTGCACGCGCATATGCGCAGACGTAAAAGGTCTTACGCGCACGCGTAAACGCCTATGTGCATGTGTCAACGCGGCACATGCGCAGAAAGTTTTTAGCTTTGAGATCCGGATTATATATCATTCTGGATTATGGGTGTCCGAATTAACGATTTTTGACTGTATTAATTATATTTTTGTAAAGAAAAAAATAATCAGAAGCAAGAAATTTAACCACCCTTCTATCAATAAATACTCAAGCTCAAATTTAGATATAGGTATAGATAACACTATATTCAAGAGATGAAATTTACAAAAACAGCATGAAGATTCAAAATATCACCAAGCTCATGCTAATTCAAAACATAGTGTAGAACTTTTAAAACTGCTGCAGCTTTGTCAGAAAAGTGTCATAATATGGTGTGTTGTTGTTTACTATTTAAATTTACTACTGGGTTGCTTGAAAATCATATAACTTATTTAAACAAATATTTTTTTTTCATGATATTATCAGGCAATTAACAGACTCAAATTTTAAAACAGTATGCTACAATATTTTAAACATAAACTTTCTCTCTCTCTCTCTTTCGTTCTTTTTTTTTTTTTTTTTTTTTTTTTTTTATTAATGATAAAATTTTTACACTCTAGTATGTACAATGTGTTGAGCATTTTAAAACTGATTATTGTTTCTTCTCACGGCACGGGAATCAGTCCCCCCCCTTTTCCTAAGAGTCGATGATATAAAACATCCTATTTAAGTTTAAAAATTAAGATATTTAGCTTCTAGATATTAACCTTAAAATTTTTACTAATAAGAACAGAACTTAGTAAACTAAAAACATTCACTAACTGCCAGGTTCATACAGACCAAGCAAAAATCAAGCATAAAAGGAAGATCACATTTAAGTCCAATGCTAGAGCATCAAGGAATACCAGAATGCAAACATAATGGTACATACTGCCTGTTCTACTCTATAGAAGAGAAAGCATGTGCTATATACTACTGTTGACTGTACATTATTAAACACAACATCTTGAGTGGTGTTAGGAACATACTTTATAAAAGTGAAGTTTTATACAGCAACACTGAGCTGAGACGTCAGAAAAATCCTATTTCCTGCTCCACTGGGTTAATGGGAGATTAGAACTGAGGCGTTGACAACACAAAGTCTTCCTGAAAACAAACAGTTCTCTTCAAAATGGTGGTGGCTCTATCATGAATTGAAAAGATTTCATGTGACAAATGGAGTTTTTTCATATATCTGAAGAAGTCCTTACACAGAGTGTACCATAAATGTTGCAACAAAATTCTAGGGGAGGTAGGGCACATCATAAGAATAAAGAATTGAATAGAAATCTATACCCATAAATGTCAGGGGTAAGTGGTAGAAGATGGGAAAGGAAACAAGAGAGTGATTAATTTTAAACATTTATTGGACATGAATACAAAATGGTGTTTCGACAGCAACAGATACTCGAAGTTTCCACCATCAGACGGCAAACATACCTGATACCAACAGACCATTGATTGCCGAACATGTTCAAACACACCGGGAGTTTCTTTCATTGTAGCAGCTGGGCTGGCGAGTCTTGCCACAAAATCCATTTCAGACACAACAGGATCATGGTACATGATGCTTTTGATGGCTTCTCACAAAAAGAAATCAAGGCTCGATATATTCGGTGAGTGTGAGGTGTCAGGTAACTGGTCCACCAAGCCCAATTCCTCAATGTGGGAATGAGCTGTTCAAATGGCTACGAACATACAGTCTAAAATGAGTCTACTTCTTTAATGAACCGTAGTCACACAAATTTTGATGGAGACGTGCAATCAAATTGTGGTGTGGTTGATGTCTGTTAGGGAAGCGTTCTCAATAAATGCATGCAGCGGCTCCTTTATTATCTTCATCTATTCCATACACTAAGTACGTGTCTGCAAGCTCTCTGTTCGTACAGCATTCCATGCTCTTCGTATGGTGGCTACCGTTCGAATGAGGCAATCCTCACTGTAGAGCACCCCCTGGTGGCCTACAGTGACGTTTCGAGGCATGGGCATGCAATTCTTAATCCTTATGATGTGCCCTACCTCCCCTAGAAGTTTGTCGCAACATTTATGGTACACCCTGTATATTGCAAACCACAGGGTACTTAATGATGACTGTCCTTTCACAAGACAAATCAGAAGAACAATACACACTGCCCCCCCCAAAAAAAATGGAACAGTTCTGTATCTCCCATTCTACTGGGCCGATTGACGAAATGCATCTTGCATTTATCATGTCTCGAAAGCACGACTTAGGATATGTATTAGATTTATATATAGCATTGCTCTAATATAGGTATTTTGACACAAAATCAGAATTTTTCTGAAACAACATACCAATTTTTTTCCATATTTCCATTCTACAACTCAGATTACGCCAAACTACCAAGTTTTGTAAAAATCGCAAGATAGTTTTTAAAAAATTAGCTCTCAAAAATTGGAGCCTCAATGTTAATTAGCTTGGTATAATTATTAATCTCTCTTTTTTTATTAAACTTATTTAATTCCTTCATATTGAATTTCAGGATTATTCCAACAAAAATTCCCCCATTTTTTATAATTTATTTTTAAATTTGTATTTAAATAAATTTTATAATTTTTCAAAAATATTTCCTAAATCTATAAAATTTTACCATCATCTTAAAGTAGACATATTTCTAAGCACACCTGCAAAAAATTACAGTTTTTTATTCAAAATTTCTGAAGATATACGTGAACTTATTTATTGGGGCGTTTTGAAATTCGGCATATTTGTTGAAAGCAATAAAACATCAAATGTGGTCGAAACATTTGGCTAAAATTATTTGAAAGTAGGAACGATGTGACTTCTTCTCTGCTCTTGCACAATGTAAAAAATTAGGAACGAGGTGCCTTTTTTTCCTCTCCGGCATAATGGAACAAAAAGGAAAACTGGTTGCCATATATTACGAATTCGCCAAGTCAATTATTCTTGGCGCAAACTAAAAAAATTACACCAAGATAAATTTTTGAAATTCTCTGTAAATTTCGCACCAAATTTTACAAAATTTAACATCTAGGCATAATTTGAGTTGTAGAATCGAAATATGTAAAAAAATTGGCATGTTATTTCAGAAAAAGTCTGATTTTGTGTCAAAATACCTATTTTAGAACAATGTTATATATAAATCTAATATATATCCGAAGTTGCGCTTTTGAAACATGAATTCCTCCACCCCCCCTCCCGCAGTGTATGTTGCCAACAGGCTATTAACATCCAAGCGGAGATTGAAGAGCATTTGAGCTCTAGAGTCTAGACCATTTTTTGCTCATAATCATAAGATTTAAGTCAAACTGACTAATTAATTAATCTGTTATATTAAACACATCCATAAAAATGAAGCTAATATCTATGGTATAAATTATTATCATGGTACAAAATTAGAGAGGCATGTGTAATTTTTTAGTCAATTAGTACATAACATTAATTAGAAATTTTTGCAAGGCATAATATGTTTGGGGATATTAAAAAAGTTATACTTGCATTAATTTTTTTTAATTTAGCAAAAAATAACTTACATCAGAAAATACATGTATAACAATACACTATTTATATTTATATGCATATGCATTGAAGTTAAAATTTATTCATAAAGATGAAGCACAGAAATGCCATTATATTCCAACTAAAAACATTTGAAGTCAAAAAACAATTTTAAGATCCTTCTCCACAATGATTCTATCTTCTAAGATTTGTTACAAAATAAACATCATCGCTGCAAAAGTTGATTACCATCTGTTGAATTAAAAAAGAGATAAATCTTGTATGACAATTCAGGTCCAACACGTCGCTGAGTTCCTAAAGGTCCATAAGTTCTTCTCACCTGAAAAGAAATACAAATCAAATCAGCGAAGTTAAAAATAATTTAATTAAGTTAATTAAATTTTTAAGTATGGAATATTTATATATTTTGCTTTGAATTATAAAATGATAATGATAAATAAATTTGGAGAATTAATTTAAATCAGATTTCACCATCGAGTTTGGGGGTGGAAACAATCTTGGACCGTGAAACAAAACTAAAGTATGATTCAGATTATTGCAAGAGTGGGCAAGTGATTAAGACTACTGAACACTGGCAAGTTGGACTAACTCTCTCACTGACACGAGGTATCACTAAGAAAATCCAAATTTCCCAAAACTGCCATAAGAGAGGGATATTTTCTTGATTTTAATACCAAAATTCCCCTTGTGAACCAAAGAATGAGATAATAATATTATATAAGCATTCCTAACCCTTGTGAACCAAAGAACTGATATAATTATGTACATTTTGCATTTCAATAAACAAAATGTGGGTAAATGGAAGAGAGTCCAGGTGCCACTAGCAGAGCCAGCAGTGAGTTGAATGTCTCTATAGGGTCTGATGAACAATGAAAACACTTAAGGCCCTGTATGGCATTCACATTTATGGATAGTTAGATGTGGACAACACCTGAATCACCTGCTGGTAAATACCTGGTGTTCTTCCTACTTATACCTTTACCGATGCTTTTAATATACAGTACAAAGACTGTAATCCGGACATCCATTATCCAGAATGATCTATAATCCAGACATCCATTATCAGGAATGATCTATAATCCTAATCTCAAAGCCACAAACTTTTTTTGTATGCTTTACGCATGCACATTAATGTTTACGCATGCGCATTTAGCACAAAAAATGAAGCATCTTAAACAACTTACATTGAAAGAAATGTTTAATAAAGTAAACAAATAAATATTAAGCTTTTTTTTTTTTTTTTTTGTAAATTTTGATACCCTTTTACATCAGATTGCTCTTTATTCATAAATTATGGTTTCATCTTTTTAATTGTATAATTTCTGCATGCCATCTTACCAGATTTAAATTGATGATCTATAATCTGGAAAAACCCTTAATCTGGAATCGCCGAAGTCCCTACGAGTCCAGATTACGGACTTTGTAGTGTATTACTATTAACTTCTTGGACATACTTCAAGATGTGCATATGTATACTTTCTTAAGATGTCACAAAAAATATTCTAGGGCTCTCTCTTTCTCTCTATATATATATGTGTGTGTGTAAGATATAACAAAATACAATGGCTGCTTTAAGAAATAATTGGCAACCTCAAAATTAGCTATTCTAGATTTTATGTTCTTCTCCCTAAATTCATCTGTTCTAAGTTTGAAATCTTTCCATGTTGCATAACGCTGCTTGAAAAAAGTAACTAAAATTAAGCAATCACAGCTTTGAGTACTTTCTGCATCTACTAGGTATAAACACTCTTAGAAAAACTACGCCATTATTAATTTTCATTTCATTTTATATGCCTATAACCAGATGCTAGGTCCAATATGGAAAAAATTTTTGCATTCGTTATTTACGAATGCATTATTCGTTATTTTTTATTTGGTCTAATACAGCATCAATTCTAGGAATAGGTTCAGAATCTTTTTAATAATTTGGTTAAGTTTCCGATAATCAATACACAATCTAGTTTTTGCCAGTTCATCTCTCTTATAAGCTAAATTTACAGGTACAGCATAAGGATTGAAAGGCAGTTTTATTATACCAGCATTTAACAATTCATCTATTTGTACCTTAATTTCATTATTATCTTTACGAAATGCTTGATAATAGGTAATTCTGAAGTTAAAACTACTTGTACAGGTTCAATATTGATACAACCCAAATTATATTTATTTTTTAGCAAATATATGATTATAGTTATTTAACAATTTTTGCAATCGATCATCAATTTTCACTATTTTCAGCAAAATTACCAAATTTCTTTTGTTTACTCTTCTTATTTAAATGACATACTTCACAATGTTTACAGTAGTTTCTGACCAATAGTGACCTGGACAATTCCTGGCAATGTATTGAAAAGGCAATACATTTAGCATTGAGGACACACTAATATGACCAAAATTAATATGAGCTTTTTCAAGCAGCATTATGTAGCATGGAAAGATCTCGAATTTGGGAGAACAAATGAATTTAGGGGGGAAAAGATAAAATCTAGAATAGTTCATTTTGGAGTCACCATTGAATACAAGGTATTTTTCCCTAGAAAATTCTCCTAAGACATGCTTTACTTTAGGGAGATAGCCCTCACATGATTTGCTACAATTGAATAAATGAGCAAATAAATATTGAACTGGAATATGTGAGTTTAAATAGATGGTTGAAATCTGGGGTATAAGCATCATAAGAGAGTGAACCATTTTTTACCACTTGGTCTTTAATTTATTACAGCTATTTTTTTTTTTAATTATTATTTATTTTCAGAAATGCTTTCAAGTGCAATGTAGATTTTACACTGCACAGGGTACTATTAGAGCACTCAACAGTACTAATAGTACATTGTTGAAAAAAAGAAATAAAACCATGTTTCGTTTCTGGAAAAAAGCCACCAATATTTTTAGCAAATCTTCCACTGTCAACTCCTTTATGTTCCTGAACTTTAGTTTCTTTGTTTTCTAGAAATTAAACCAGAGTTCTCTCTCACTATCAAAACTTTCCTAATTATAAAAATCATGAAAGCACTCCACTCTTTTAGTAAACTCTTCCACTAGCATTTCTAGCCTAAGCACAGGATGCAGTAGCAAGAAAGAAAATGCTGGAAAAGTTAATAATTTAGGAAAAAATATACATATGATTGCAAAAAATAGTTAAGTCAAATAAAAAAATGGAAATGTTAAAATTAATGTCCATTAAATGTAAAACAAGGAAATTTCATGTTAATTTTTCTCCACCCCCCTCTGTATCTGACAAAAATCACTGAAATATGTCTTCTACTTTCTGATATAAACTAAAAAAAGTGTAACAACTTTGTACACCTTTTATAGTAAACTAACAAATTAGCTAGTAATGATCAAACTAATTATTACATTTTTTCTTATTCTGCAATCAGCAAAATTTGTTCTAATACTTTTTTTTATATAATACCAGCTACTGTGCTCACCAGAAAAATATATATTTTGAGGTTAACCACTTGCACTGGAAAGATATTTCCCAAATATCAAGACTTTTTCCAGTCAGTAAATTTCTCTCACATTCCCAAACATAAAGTCTCTCAGACCATAAATTGCACAGGTGTTCCCCACCTGTGAGAAATTTTGCTAACCATACCTATCACAGCAATAATGACATGTTCTTATAACAGTTATAATACTACAGAAGGATAAGATATTCAAATACCATGGAAAACCAACTAGTAAAAAAAATTTGTATGTGTATCTAGCAAGCTTAAGAACCAGTTTTTATACTGGCGTGAACAGTGTACAAAAATGAGGAACAGCTAATGACATTTTGAAGTATGGATTTGGTTTAACAAAGTAATTTCAGTGCATGAAAAATTGAGATTTTAAAATGAACAATAGCATTTTGCACATACTCCTTAATTTACACTCATTTCAATTAACTAATAAAGAACTTTACATAAAAGAAAAATCAATTTAATAAAATCTTCCCTATATATTTGGAAAAATAAACAAGTACATCCAAGCCTTTCACAAATTCAATGAAAATGCAAGAGGTTAAAAAATTAATAAAGGAAAATACAATAGCTTAGAAATGAAAATTTAACTTCAATTTCAATTCAATAATTCTTAAATCTATGTTATTTACTTATGTTCAATGCATAAAGCACTGCTTTATAATCCACGGTAATTTTCCAGCAAAGCAAGTGTAGTAAAGAACAATGCTAAGTGAAACAGCAAGTTATAGATATAGGAACAGCAGTTACTAAATATCCTCAATAGAAAAAAAAAAAAATCATTTACATTTATTTTTATTATTTTTACATTTGCATGGTAATATATATTTTTGCTTTGTTTTATATTTGCATATTGCTAGTTTTTATTCTTGAAATTTAATTTCTGCATGATCTGCATGTACCTGTTAACCTTTCAAGGTGAGAAGTCATTTTAACAGTTTAAAATTACTTACCACTATATCTTGCAACAGAATTTCAGCCTCTTTTGTACTTCTGCATCGCTTGTATGCCTAAAATATACAGATAAATGTTTTCAAAAAAAGTTAGGATTGAAAATATATTAATCATTTCAAACATGATTGATAAGTTTCTTCCTCATCAGAAAAAACTGAGGAAAACATTAGGAATAGGAAGGTTTCTTCTTATACGAAAAAGACTTCTACCACTGAAGTGGCAGTATTTCCATATACTCTGATTTTATGTGAAATCAAACCAATTTCTATCGTAGCCCTTTAGAAGGAAAGAAAAAATGTAGATCCATTTTCATCAGTATCAAGTATGTTTAAAAAATATAATAGGAAGGTTTCTTCTTTCTTTTAATAATAGGAAAGTTTCTTCTTATAGGAAAAAGACTTCTACCACTGAAGTGATAGTGTTTCCATATACTCTGTTTTTATGTGAAATCAAATCAATTTCTTTCGTAGCACATATTTATTTAATTAATCCTTTAGAAGGAAAGTAAAAATGTAGGTCCATTTTCATCAGTATCAAGTATGTTTATGAAATATCCTATAAATATGAAAGTACATGTGAATCTTAAATTGATTTTCAATAGCATCAGTACATTCCAAAATGATCTTTTGCAATGTTAATTATTTAGCTTGCACTGCCCTTATATCGAAAGAACAAAATCATACTTTTGATTTTCCTATCTAGGCGGTAATTTTTAATTTTTGGAATGTAAAAAGTTCCCCTCCTTTAGTTTTTCACACCATACATAGTATATTTTTGCTGCCTTTCAAGTAATTTATTTTATATATTAATCCATTTTAATTTTGCTTAAAAATTAACCTATTTTATATTCAATGAAATCCCATTTAAAGTTACCAACAATCTGATATTGTTTATTGAATATTTGCAGCTTAATATCCTTTTCCATTTCAAGTTCTGAGTTAAAACATAAGTATATACAATCATATACAGTGATTTAATTATAAAAGAAATCGAAGGTTTTATTAAAAGATTTTATATCACCTGACACTTTAATGCATATAGTTCACATACTTATAATACTAGCATAATTTGTACTGTTTGACAATTATTATAAATTTACATTCTGCCTAAATCTTTTTTTATTTCCCCTTTATTTATTTTCTAATCTAATTGGGAAAATATTTTTTAAAAAAAGCAGACAGATAAATTTATTAATATCATTATTTGGCATGTGTTCTTTCATTATCCTTGGATGATTCGGATTTCAAAATATTATTAATGCTGTCATTTGGTTGTAACTGGCCCATAAGTGCCTATTATCACTGGCATATGGGGAATAGTGGTGAATATTGCAGATTTTCAACTTTATTTTTGACTATTAATCTGTCTTCCTTATTGGTATCAGGTCTCACAAATGTTTTCCATCACTTTGTTTGTATATTTTCCTTGTTATGCTTTTTTTATACAAAATAATGTACGTATTCTTAGAGTATATCTTTAAATACTTCAGTTACATTATATACAATTAATTTTTGTTAAACACATATATCTACAACAGAGATTCTCAACCTTTTGACTAACATGTACCATCTAAACTAAAATTGAGAAACTTTACCACCACTTCTTCGGTAGAAGTCTTTACCACAACTACATTTTACAATGATTATTTCTCCTTTTCTCAACAGAAATGTTAAATATATATATATATTGCCATTTGCACAAACTATTGGCTATTTGTACTAAATATGTACTCATAAAAATATTAGATTAAAAATTGGTTACCCTTTTAATTATCAAAATTTTAGTCAAAATACTTTAATTCTAAAATTCAGTGTGAAATTTGGGCCTGTTTAAGAGAGATCAATTTCTTTATGTCTGATCTTATTTTACTTAGTTTTAATCATAAATTAGGATGCATTTTTAATTTTGTTCTGTATTTATTTTTCATATGTTGCATGGAAGAAAATCCTTGTTCACACAAATAGGTTGCACACTGCCTTTCAAATTTGCGACAAAAATTTACAAATATAGCTGGATTGCAATTCTAGAAGTTCTGGAATGATTATTTTGTTACACATAAGTATGCTGTGCCAATGTTTCACATGTAGCCCTCACAATATGCATTATAAGAGGGAAACTAAATACAGTCAAAAGTCTTTAATCCGGATGTCCATAATTCGGAATGATCTATAATCCGGACCTCAAAGCTACAAACTTTCTGCGCATGCGTCAACGCATAATGTGTTAACGCATGCGCATAATACCTTTACGCATGTGCATATGCATCTACGCATGTGCATAATACATTTATGCATATGCCTTTAATGTATAACGGATGGTATAAGCTAAGCTAAATTTATCTGATTATCTATTTCAGTTAATGTTGCAGATTGTGTTGTTCCTTAATCTTCTAATTGGATCCGACTTATTATTTTTTGCAGACTGTTAAAGCAATTTTATAAAAGTAAGCTTGAACTTTGGATTATGTCAAAAAGAATTTCTGATTCTGGAGCTACCAAAGGATCTACAAAGCGAAAATATGTTCCGATGTCCATGAAACAAAAAGTGAAATTGCTTCAAAAAATGGATAAAGGCATATCCTTTGATTCTCTAATCATTCCGAAATATGTTTATCAATTTCACGCTGCTCTGTGGGGGGGGGGGGACATCGCGGCGCACAATGAACTGGAAATTGATCTGTCAGCACTATCCTCATCTTCAGGACAGATGTTTTTATTTTATTCGGCTTATAATTCCTTACTAAATATAGTATTTCATCTCGATGTACTTCCTTATTTGTTATGATTTAAATCAAATTCCTCGTCATTATAAATATCACGAATACACATCAAATAGTTTTCTGGTTGCAATTTTCTAATTTCGACTATGCGTAATGTATTGCTTTACGCATGCGCGCGTTTGAAAGAAGAAATGTTTAATAAAGTAAACAATAAATATAAAGCTTTTTTTTTTTTTTTTTTTTTTTTTTTTGTAAATTTTGATACCCTTAGATCATAATTGCTCTTTATTTCATAAATTACGGTTTCATATTTTTAATTTTATAATTTCTGCATGCCCTCTTACCAGATTTAAACTGATGATCTATAATCCGGAAAAAACGATAATCCAGAATTGCCGAAGTCCCGACGAGTCCGGATTAAAGACTTTTGACTGTACCATTACATCTATGATTTCTAGATATTTAATTTCCATTTTTTGGAACAAATAAACACGCAAATATAACTTTGAATTCAACTACATGCAATTTAATGAATTAATTAAAAGAAAATTTTATCAGGTTAAAAACTCAGTACCTTTATTCTGCCAGTAGCTGTAATAAAAAGTAACAAAAATAATTGATATGGACAAAAAAATTAATTAAGTAAGCATTATGTATTCTTTGTTGCTACCTATGGCATAATAACATTATGTAAAATAGTATGATAGTAAATTTCAAGTAATTTTTTCAAAATATACCTCCATTAAGTGCCGTGGAGAGGGATACTTTGACACAATTGCTTCAGCTACTTCTGGTCCAACATTCTGAAATTGCTGAATTTGCTGCTGCCATAATTTTATGCAGCCTGAAGCATCTTTTTCTAACTTGACAGGACAACTGGTATCCGCATCAGCATACCAAGAGAATGCCAGACCTTTCTGAAGTTGCTTTTCTTTTCTATAAAAATCATAACATTCTAATTGTTAGACTATAGGTGTCAAAATAACTAAAACTAGTGAAAGCATATAAAGAAAAATACTGCATGCATTAACTGTTGATCAATTTTGTTTCTAATGAATGAATCTTTTGAAAAATAACTGAAAATGTTTGCTCAGATGCACATTTTGAAAAATCTAATTTAAATAATGTACTTACTGATGCATTGCTATATATATATATAAATAGATATAGATATAGATAGCAATGCATCAGTATATATATATACTATATAAAGAAGAAAGTCTGTGTGTTTGTCCTCTAAAAACTCAGTCACTACAATAGCTATCATCGCTGAACTTTCTACGATTCTTTTCTGGGTCCTGGAAAAGATTGACATCTACTTTTTTGCAAATAAAAAGTAGGTAAAATCACAGATATTAATTAAAAACACAGAAAAACAATAATTTTCACCCTCATTTTTACAAAATCGCAGAGTTTATTAATAAAAAATTACTAAGTTTTATGATGAAATAAAAATATCGTTGCCAAACATTAAATACATTATTCCCAATTTCAAAAACATGCGGGAAGCCATTTAGACCATTCCAATCTTTGTACGACTTTAATCAGCCGAATTAAAAACTCTGAAAACATTAATTTTTGCACTCATTTCTCCGAGTAGCAACAGTCTTATGCGCTGGAGATAAAAATGCTTCATTTCGAAAAATGTTGCTACTGCTAGCTTGCACATCGTAGAGTTTGTCAGTCAAAAACTTGTAAGTTTTAAAGAATCTCTATATATAAAGAAGAATGTCTGTTTGTGTGTTTGTTTGCATTATTGATTTCTGATCAATTATGATCAATTTTGTGCTATATTTAATCAACTGAAATTGAATATAGATGAAATGGCTGGAATTTGAGCTTCTAAGAACGTTTGATTAGAAATACAAAATCATTAAAAACTGCTTGCCACTGTTGCTGATCTAATGAGAGAGAATTACTTTATTTTTCGATCGAAATTTTTTATGTGGGTTCCATATTGCATCAGACTGAAAAATGTCTGACTATGAATCGTATATATTGCATCCTTATTAGAGAAGGGTTACAGCGGTATTGTTTTCTCTGTTGTTAGTTATATTACTCTCAATCTAATTTAACTGGCATCTGGTACTTCAACTAGTAAAGTTATAAGATTTTTTCTAGAAGAATTCTAATTTTTTTTAATGTTCTTTTTAATTTTTAAAAAAAGTTTTAGCTTAAATATTTTTCTATGTATTTTTTTCTTTTAAAATATATTCTATATTCAAAAGGAAGATTTTACAATATGCAATATTATACAAGATGGTATAGTTGTAACATGAATATGATTTCATCTATAGAAAAGAAGCAAAAACCAAATTTTTCTTGTACTGCCACTAAAGCATTATCAGTTCACAGTAGTAGTATAGTAGCCACTAGATCCTTGTGGTAAATGAATGTTTGAAATATAGTCATGGGGATAGAGGAAATCCTTTATTTTATTTGTAATTAGATAAATTTATAACTGTAAAGCTACATATATGTGCAAATGTCTATATAACATAAAATTTTTATTAAATGTTTTAACCCTTTTAAGCACTTTTAATAGCCTGTAAAGTCTTCTTGTTAATTTGGTTTATTTTCTCTTTCTGTTCTAAAAACATAAAATGCTTATTATAAACTTTTTTGAAATGCATCATTTCAAAATCAATTCTTGTTATATGATTCTTATATAATACAGTCACGGTATTCTGTCAAATTATTGCAAATAAATTTTAGATCTGATGACAAAAGAGAGAAGAAGATAATGCTGGATGTCCAATCAACTTTATTCAGACAAAATTTCAACAAAAAACAAATTCATGATGTGAATTTTCTGAGTTGATTACTTTCTATTTTCCTTGAAATAGAAAATACACCTGTGTACAGATAAATACTAGGTAATGTATGAGTGTGCTGTAAGTTTCCTGGTTACCCTCTTATCAACTCAATAATAATCGGCCTCATGGTTAATGCAGCACACCAAACACAGATTAAAGACAAAAATACAGTTCAAAACATCAAATCAAAATTCCCAATATTTCTATATCATTTATAAAGTTATATGTCATTTATATCTATTGTCATTTATAAAGTTCATCAAATTCTTTGCAAATCTAAACTCTTTTCTGTGGTAACAGAATTCCTTTATGTTACCATGCTTTTCCCTAACATGTCGCAATAATACACAGCCTTCTATGAAATGACATGTATTGCTTTCAGCACTAAAAAAATTACAAAGACTATTATTTTACAAAATAAATCTTTTCAGGTACACTGTGAAGCCTCTGTAGATAAATAATATGTATAAATGGTAGGAATATTCATAGCATTATGAAACATTATAAGTGAAACAAAGTCATTAATTCCGCCAATACCAGTATCAATGCAATGACATTTTTCTATAGAAAAGAGATCAATAACTGATTAACATAATTTTTATGCCTGAATATATACTAGAGTGTGATCTTCATAAACCAAGCAAAATTGAAATGTGTCTTTCCAATATAAACTGCTTATATGTCTTAACTCACTGATAATTTTACATAGATTTCTATTTAAAGGAATTGAAATTCATGAATTTAAAATATGTATTACATACTTGTTATTACTTTATATCCTATACAGCATTTAATGATATTAACAAAGCCAACTTTCACATTCATGCAATGCTAACTCTTATTTATTAACAATATACATATATATTGATATTATCTGTCAGATACTATTTTGCATTACCAAAAGTTAGATACTATTTCCTATTACCAAAAGTGCTAGACTATAATATTTTTGTCAAGTAAATTACTTTTTATTTGCAGTTAAGTTTTGAGTTACTTCTCGAGCGATTTGGATTTTAACCTTTAATGAACATTAGCAGGCTAAAATGATGAAACTCTTGTTCTTTTGTAAAGAGGTTAAGCTATTTTTAATTTTTTCATTATAAAGCACTCAATTCCCTTATATAAATGAAATACCTGCAATTAACATGGCATTTATTTCAAAATGGTATGACCTATTTCAATGCAGTATTCAAACTTTAAGGCAGTGCAACCCCATAAAAATGTAAATAATCTCAGAAAGCAATATCATGACCCCAATCAGAGCATTAACCCCAAGTTATATACTATCAATGCACCACCTAATGACCCCATTATAAATTTTCACAACCCAGAATTTCAATAGCATTGCCACATTTGATTGCATTATATTTTAAAAAATAGAACATTTTTTAAATTTCAAAATTTCTAAGCCTTAAATTTCAACCAAATAACATATAAATAAGGCACTTTAAATAAACAAAAACAAAAAATATTGAGCAAAAAGAATGCTAATAATAATTCCACTATTTAGAAATTGCACTTCAGATGAGCATAAAAAATTAAAAGCATATAGATCAGATAAATATATGTACTTAAGTGGTGCCTCTGCAATGGCTTTTGTGAAACGAAAAAGTGTATCGCCAAATTCTTTCATGGAATCTAAAAAGATAAAATTCACAAATGCTTGCAGTTGAACTTCTGTTGCAACCTATATGAAAATGAATTTTTACAGTTAGTAAAATATTTACATATACTTCCCTTTTCGGATATTAATGCAACCACTTTCACATATTTAGTAATTTTTTACACAAGAAAAAGCATTATGACATATTCACCATTCATTCAATAGCAAAAAATTTACTTATATTTTACATTCTAATCAGGTATTCATCATAAAAATCAGTCAATAAACCTACTTAGAATGTGACTTTTACTTTTTTTTGTTCCAGTGAAAATTCTTTCCTTTAGCAATTTTGCAGCAAAATACTGTATTCTTGTAGAGATTTAAACTGCAGTTTCTTCCATTGCTAGCAAATTCCACAAATACATACAGTAAAATTAAGTTTGAGGCAAAAAATATTATGATTTGCCTATAAAAAATGCTGGTACTTAGAATACACAAAAAGAATGCATACAAAAATGACAAGGTTATTTGACTGAAGAACTGTTACGAGCATGGTAGTCAAAGTTTGGCACATTTTGAAAATTTGGTGACTTCTACTAAGGCGGTTGCACTCACATGTTATATAATAGAAAAAAAAAAAAAAAACATTCATACCTATTTTTGTAAATTAAATATTTAAGCATTAAACTTTCAGAGAAATAAAGGGGAAAAAACACTAACAATGTTTTTATTATTATGTCATGTTAATAACAATGTTTTTATTATTATGTTATTTTATTTATTATTTTACTATTATGTCATAAACTAACAGTGTTTGGCAAACACTAACAGTGTTTGGCAAAACTATGACATAATAATAAAAAGTGGATGTCTAGACCGATTCCATCTATGGTTTTACTGCAACTTCTACAGCATAAACTGGAGAAGAATTAACATATAATCTGAACAGAAAAGCCATCAAAGAGCAATGAAATCACTGAATTTAATATACTGGCCACTCATTATATATACAGCACCTTCTAAAACTTTCCTTCTTATGTCTTATGCATTTTCTGCACTGCTGCTGAAGAAAATAGTACAGTTATGATAATACAACTGATACATCCAATTTCATACACCATGGCATTTTCGGAAAACTTTCTATTTTGGATGATGCTTTTGTTATGAGCTTATTTTTAACTAGTTGCTGGGGGGAAAAAAAAGAGCAGTAGAGCAATGCTGCCAAAACTGGCATATACCTTACTCTCTCTTCTTATTCTACATACATGACTGTTACAAATTTGTGTATAGTCCTATTGTAAATTTCAAAGATTTTTCCATGTGTAATGAAAATTACAACAAGTTTCATGTAGAAACTCTGAAAACACATTGTTATAAAACATCAGTAGTTGAATATACATGTTTTAGAATGTTCTGAAAAACATTAATCAGATGATAACGTATCAGAATGATTTCAAACAACCTCATGCATATTATTTACTTACAGAACAGAATAAATTAAGTTTTCATAATGGTAGAAATCTTGCTGACAAAATAAATCCTACATTTTAACCTCTTTCCCATCTGAAATTGTAACCTTTTTAGTATTGTTTAATTTTAGTTGCTTTCATCTTACACATTTGCTAGTTTCATCTTACACACTAACTAACTTATAGTTACATTATTATTAATTGTGTATATATTTATTTTATACACAAACTAGACTATAGCTTTTAACATTTACATATTTTTTGTATGGAATGAAAATACAATTGTTTGAAATTCATAAGTAAATTATAAACAGCTTTTAAAAAATATATAAATATAATGTTACGAAAATCGAAATGCAGAAATCGCATCAATAAAAAATAAAATGTATTTATAAAAATTAAATAGCTTCTTTTGACATTACACAAACAAATATTTAACATTTATCTAGGCCTGATACAAAAATTTATTTCAGGAATATCAAGCAAATAAACAGTTACCTTAATTTCAATTAGTAAGGAAAACTAACTTATAGTTTGTTAATTTCAGCATCTATCGAGCAATGAGTTCGTTAGATGCTGGTACCTGACTTATGCATATGGAAATTTTACTTTTCTATATCAAAAGTAAGAGAAGTTCAAATATGTTGGATACTGTATTTCTGTAATGGGAAAAAAATATCAAAAATGCATTTCTTTATTTAGAATGTCATAAAGAATAATTTTTAAAAATTACTTTAAAGTAAATCATAAAAAATGCTAAAAATTAATATTATGACATGTTTTGCTCTCAATGAATAATAATTTTAAAAAACATAACTTCTCAGCATTCTATGTACAAAGAGTATGGTAATACAATAAAATATCAAGTATATATTAAGAACGCAATAACATAGAATTTTCTTAAGCTATGAATAAAAAGATAAGAATCTTTGTCTTGCTCCTAGCATTAATTGACAATTCAAATGCATAAAGAAAAATTTTTTAATCATCTTGAGAAAAAGGATGATAAATATTATGTTTGACCCATGCTTGTAATTCATGGCTTGATAACAGTTTTACCGGCTGATCAAGAACTAAAGGTACTTTAGTGTTACCATGAAATGAAATTGACATATCCATAATAATTAATCACCAAAGTCCATCATTGACTGTTAACCATATTACTTTACAATTTATGCAGGCAATCTAACTATTCAAATCAACAACTGTTTCATAATTTTTAATGCCTTCGTACACCATTTAAAAGGGTAGGATATTTTCAGCCCAAAAGTATATAAATAGCAACATTTTTAGAAATGGTAACCGTAAACGTTAGAACCAATTCAACATAAATATCATTCTTCCGAAAATTTTTGACATTTTACCTCCAAATGTTTTTATTGTTGACATACAGATGCATTTAAGAATCATTTTTTCATATTCTGCCGTGAAATGAAATTATTTTTTACTATAAGAGTGCTATATAAAACTTAAATAATTTATGTGGTGCCAGTGCATAAGTAATGAAAAATTTCTGAAGCCATATTAGCAGCAGTTGCAGAAACTATAGGCAAGAAATTAGTGTGAGAAACTGATGCAAGGAATAAAATGTAAATAACATTCTGCTAGTAGTAAAATGGTATTTATGTTTTATTCCTTGCATTCAGTTTCTGCAATTTATTCCTCACATATTTCTTTCTTAATTTTTTATTCTTCACAAACTTCTTTCTGTTAATTTATTCATTATTTCCAGGAATTTTTTGCTTGGTAATTCTTTTCACATCATTCAATATGTATTTACCAATTTTCTTTCATGACAGATACTTATCACAAAAGTACTAAAATAAAATGTACTTTAATAAACTTTATAGTAACAATTCTTACTTCTTCAGAGGCTGTTTTAGAAACTTGCTTTAAAACCCTTTTTCTTTCAATATCTATGTTTGCATTTTCTTTCATTTCTCTTCAAATAGGGGAAAAAAAGTGTTTTTAACTGTAGAAGAATAATCAGAAGGGAAAGGACATGCATAATATATTCAAATGACAATTAATTAAATGAATGAATTACTAAAGAAAACTAATTAACATAGAAATGATTTTTTGAAATTAAACTCATAATATTTTGCATTTTTCAATTCTGATAACTATAAAGTTATAACTATCAAGAAGAAATCAATGATATAGATAATTTAAATGGTAACAAACAATTCTTGCATTGATGAAGAAACAAAATAATTTATTTCAATACTCTATATATATCTATATAAAATCTATAATCCAAGGAAGGAGAACTTCCTTGTCTCTCTGCATCTAATTATAAAAACCTTTTATTTATTTCTGAATACATATGTTGTGATAAAATGCAAATACATTTTTCAAACTAACACTCTTGAGCTCTGTAGAAAGGGCCATTAATTATCTTTAAGATGAAATCAGTTATGCAATGTTGGAATTTTGATCACCTATAATGGTTTTTATGACAAGATTTTCCAGAACGTCCAATCAAAAAGTGTATCAATATTATTTCATTTATCAGGCACCAATTCCTTGTGCATAATTCTTTTGCTGTCATAGATAATAAAGGTTTGTCTTCATTTTTGAATTTGAGAAACCAATATTTTGGTTTAAAAAAAATTGTTGATTTTTTCATTCAGCATTTCTACTCAGCTGTTTCATTTTAGAAACATATAATTTTTACTCAGCTGTTTTATTTATTTTGGTATCATACTGAAATAATAGCATTCCTTGTGTATAATTCTTTTGCTGTCATAGATAATAAAGGTTTGTCTTCATTTTTGAATTTGAGAAACCAATATTTTGGTTTAAAAAAAATTGTTGATTTTCATTCAGCATTTTCTACTCAGCTGTTTCATTTTAGAAACATATAATTTTTACTCAGCTGTTTTATTTATTTTGGTATCATACTGAAATAATAGCATTCCTTGTGTATAATTCTTTTGCTGTCATAGATAATAAAGGTTTGTCTTCATTTTTGAATTTGAGAAACCAATATTTTGGTTTAAAAAAAATTGTTGATTTTCATTCAGCATTTTCTACTCAGCTGTTTCATTTTAGAAACATATAATTTTTACTCAGCTGTTTTATTTATTTTGGTATCATACTGAAATAATAACATCCCGTTACTTACAATGATTTTATTCAAGAAATAAATTTTCTTTCAATTAATATTCCTCTCTAAGGTAATATGGCATATAAATGTGTTTCACTACACTCTCTAAGTTCACTACACTCTCTAAGTCGTAGAGACATTAGGTATTTTTTGGAAGCAAGAAAGATGAAAAATGTGCAATGCCTTCGCTGGGAATCAAACCGCGGACCTCTGAAATACACACCTAGTGTGTAGACCACGACACCATGAAGGCATGCCAAGAAAGTGGGAGAAATAAGTTCCTCCTTTTTAAAGGGTGACTGAGGTTTTTAGGGGAACCAAATGCCAAATTCTGGGTGTGGAGAATCATCATCCAACACCCTTGTAGTTCGGGCGCCACTGTAGAGACATTAGGTTATTTGGAAGCAGGAGATATGAAAAATAAGCAATGTCTTCGCCGGGAATCCAACCAGAGACCTCTGGAATATGCGTCCAGGGTGCAGATCACACCATGAAGGCATGCCAAGAAGGTGCAAGAAATACCTTATAAAGTGGCTAAACATATATGATTTTTGAAATAGAGATCCATTATAAAAATTTGCTTCATGTTCAGCTCTTAATTCATAGAAAATAAGGCCATTTCTAACTAGCAATATAGTAACATATATAAATATATAGCACTAATCTTCACTCTAATTTTATACCAAGTTAAAATACTGAAAATGATACTTTCTTTCAAAAAAATATTTCAATTAAAATATCTTTTGTATCATCTAAGTTGTATAAAAATTAGCAAGAGCTAACAGTTTTGAAATATATATAAGCATTAAATAAGACGGCTGCATTTCGTTTTAATAAGATTAAAACACATATATTAGGCATTTAGCAATCAGTGGGAAATACATGAAACACAAAATATTTTTATTTCAGCAAGGACAATATTTCATACAAAAATGAAATATGCATTGCATAAATTTACCTTATATATTTTCCCAAGCCAACAATGGCACATGTTATATCCATCATAGGAAATAAAGATTTAATATTGGTAATATGCTCCAGAAGAGTAGGTTCTTCTTTGGTATTCCTCCTTACTTTCTATTGAGAATAAAGATGCATAATTTTCATATATTTATATTTTAATTTTGATCCTTAGTTTAGCAAAATATTTCTATTATATTTTAATGGAACTAATTCAAATGTCTTTACAACAGTTTTATTTTAAAAAGTTAAACAACATTTTCCAAAATAACTTTTAATTAATAAGATTAAAATGAAAAATTATTTTATACCTGTGAAGATGCATACACCATTTGTACAAAGTCTTTGTTAGAAATTAACAAGACCAAGATATTTTCAAGTTCATCCCTTTCTTCTTTCACTACCTGTAAAATATATATAACTTTAAAAACAATATTAAAAGTATTTAGCTTCTGTGCAAAAATATCCTACCTAAAATTTAGTAATTAGCATAAAAAAGTTAAAAATTAATACTGAAAGTTAAATATATATATGTTTTAAATGGAGGGGTGCTTTATTTAATAGTCATTAGCCTTGTGCCACAACAAGAGCCGGAAGTGGTGGCCATTTCATTATGGAAGCACCTAATAGGTGGCCACCATTGCCTGCTATGAAAGGATGGAAAGTTACAACCAAGCATTCTCTAGGATTCGAAACCAGGCCCATTGCTGCGGCACTCAGGATCACTAACCACTGTAATAGCCGAGTGGGGAAAGTTAAATATATGACAAATCATATTAAGAATTCAATTGCTAATTATTTTCCATAAATTTATGAATTGAGAATTTATCTAATTAAAATGTGGTCAATAACATGTAATTAAGTGCCTTTGCAATTAAAAAAATCTAAGTAAAATAACTAACCATAAGACTGCATGCTGAGCAAATACTAGCGATATTTTTAAAAAGTAAAGTTTATGAAAGGGAATCAATACAAGAGCTTATCATACATCAGTTGTGAATGCATGTATAATATTAATTGTGTTAAAGTTTAAAAATAGCTTACATTTTATATATAATTATGTTTAACAACTGAGGGCAGATATTTTACACAAATATTACACTAAAATCAATAACATATGAACAGAAACCTTGCACTCTCTTAGTTTCTCATTATATGAATTTCTTTCGAATTATGAAGATATTTGGTTTTCTTAACCACTTCACCAACTTACAAAACTCAAATATTTGCTTCTTCTTCCCTTCAAAAATAAACTTTTTGTGTCTTAAAATGATCTTAGTAATGTTTCTTTTCCCCTTTTACCTGCAGTCAAGACCTTACAAATATACAATATTCAACACTCAAGAACACTGAATTCTGTCTCCATACTCTGCAGAAAAAATTACAGTCAAAAGTCTTTAATCCGGATGTCCATAATCCAGAATTATCTATAATCTGGACCTCAAAGCTAAAATATTACACTAAAATCAATAACATATGAACAGAAAACTTGCACTCTCTTAGTTTCTCATTATATGAATTTCTTTCGAATTATGAAGATATTTGGTTTTTTAACCACTTCACCAACTTACAAAACTCAAATATTTGCTTCTTCTTCCCTTCAAAAATAAACTTTTTGTGTCTTAAAATGATCTTAGTAATGTTTCTTTTCCCCTTTTACCTGCAGTCAAGACCTTACAAATATACAATATTCAACACTCAAGAACACCGAATTCTGTCTCCATACTCTGCAGAAAAAATTACAGTCAAAAGTCTTTAATCCGGATGTCCATAATCCAGAATTATCTATAATCTGGACCTTAAAGCTATAAACTTTCTGCATAATGCGTTTATGCATGCACGTAATACGTTTACGCATGTGCATAATACATTTACACATGCGCATTTAATGTATAACGGACGGTATAAGCTAAATTATCTAATTATCTATTTCAGTTAATGTTGCAGATTGTGTTGTTCCTTAATCTTCTAACTGGATCCGGCTTATTATTTTTTGCAGACTGTTAGAGCAATTTTATAAAAGTAAGCTTGAACTTTGGATTATGTGTAAAAGAACTTCCGATTCTGGAGCTGCCAAAGGGTCTACAAAGCGAAAGCATGTTTCGATGTGCATCAAACGAAAAGTGGAATTGCTGCAAAAAATGGATACAGGCCTATCCTTTGTTTCTCTAACCATTCCAAAATCTGTTTATCAATTTCACACTGCTCTGCAGGGGGGCCCGTCACGGCGCACGATGAACTGGAAGTTGATCTGTCAGCACTTCCTTATCTTCATGGCAGATGTTATTTTATTCAGCTAATAATTCCTTACTAAATGTAGTATTTCATCTCAATGCACTCCGTCTTTGATATGATTTAAATCAAATTCCTCGTCATTATAAATATCACGAATACACATCAAATAGTTTTCTGGTTGCAATTTTCTAATTTCGACTATGCGTAATATATGCTTTACGCATGCGCGCATTGAAAGAAAAGGTTAATAAAGTAAACAAATAAATATTAAGCATTTTTTTTTGTAAATTTTGATACCCTTTAGATCACAATTGCTCTTTATTTCATAAATTATGGCTTCATATTTTTAATTTTATAATTTCTGCATGCCATCTTACTAGATTTAAACTGATGATCTATAATCCGGAAAAACCGATAATCCGGAATCGCCGAAGTCCCGACGAGTCCGGATTAAAGACTTTTGACTGTATTTTGTATTCTTTAGTCTCTCGTCTGAAAATTAACAAAGATGGTACTATAAAGGCACACAAATCAGAACTAGTTCCACTGCAATACCTGCTAAAAAAGGCTGAAATTGCATTTCTATTTCCCACATTTTTAGGTGAACTTTCTTTTCTGTGGTTATGATAGAGTCCTGTTGTGGAGAGAACGTGACTAATCAATAACTTTCAATGTGTTCCGGAGAAAACACGAAACTGCGTAATGAACAAGGCCACATTTAATCCTGACGAGTGTGTGCCATAGCTAACAACTGAAGATACTTTTCAAATGAACAGTTATGTCTCAGAAAACTGAGAAGTTGTTAATTTAAGAACAAACTGCATTTTCAGTTGCCCAAATTATGTTTATTTTCTTTTTAAAATTATATCTGTGTGTCAGAAAAAGGACAATTTTTTCATCTTTTTATATATTTGTTCATTTTAATTTCTGAAATTCAATTTTTTAATTATTTATAATTAAAACAATATTATTCTATCTTTAGTTCTTCTTTCTGTTAAAAAATGCATGCAGATTTATTCTTTCTTCCATAGAATTGTTTTGAAATGGACATTTTTTGCTTCTTATATTATGAAATAAGATCCTTTTTGAGAAAATTTGCAGAACAAATTTGCAGAACAAATGTGGACACGTTGAGCATTTGTAAAATATGTAAAAAAACTTGGCAAGTTCTCTGTTCCAGGGTAATACAATTAGATATCAGTTACATAATTTATTTGTTGTGAATTTTTAAAAGGTTTCATGAAATTTTAAATAATCCTGTATTTCAAAAATTAAATATAATGTACTTTTCTTCGATACTTTCTGATTATATACACCCCACAATCACCACTGAAAAGTTGAGAATGCATTGTCTGGAGAGGATTCCTGAACTTGTTAGCAACTGATTTTTTGCCACATCAATAGCAGCACACTAAGAATTCCTTAAAATTATATTAATAAGTAACATTGGTAATAAAACACTTAACATTTTCGAGTAATTCTCCTTTTTCTTGTTTTTCCCAAGTTACACAGTGTTCTGTTTTCGCTTAAATAAAATCAGAGAATTCCGCAAACTCAGCATCATACAGCTTTGGCATAGTACACAAAAGAGACATGTGCTATATGCATACCCAATTCCCACATAACTATTCAGCCGACATACTGCTTTGCCTCATGAACTGGTGAAGGTTGCAGATAATCAGAAAGTACCCCTTTTCCCACCTAATTTTTCATTACCATATGATTAACAACTTAGCTGTAATTAATTCATACTTTTATTAACATTATGGCATTAATAAACAAATATACCAGATTTCCGTGGCTTTCTTTAATAAAAACTAAAAACCACCAATAAGATTAATTACTATCAATTATGTAACTAATATCTGGTTGTAACAAAAGTCTTCCGCCAAAATACATTCTTAAATTTGGGAAAAAAGACATGAAAGCAGTACCTTTATGGCGGGTAGTAATCACTACCAAAATCTATGATTTTCTGCCACATTTTGGTAGCTTTTCAAAGCCTTTGGCACAGAAATTTGGTGGCAGTGAGACCGAAAACAGATCAGCCTCAATTCAGATATCCTGTGCAAAATGGAAGATAGCACCAGCAAGATGTAGCTGCAGGTGTGAAGAAACGTACAAGGTGAGATGTTGGGGTTTTATAGTGGGAATGGCAAAAGGTCCCCATTCAAGTCCATACAGAGTCCAGCAGGTGAATGCAGACACATGTGGTCTTGCATTAAACTTGATAAAACATCACCTTTTTGCCCTGGAACTCAGTTTGATATTTTTCCTTGATAACAGTGTCAACACGGACTAGCACCAACACGAACTTTAAAGAGTTTTACCTTTTTTCACATACTCTTTGCAGCTAATTCGAGGCGTATTGGGAAACTAAGTACCGTTTTGAAAAAAAAAAAAAAAAAAAAATAGTAAAACAATTTTTTCAAATCCAATTTTATTTTTACATGAAAATACATGTCTTAAACTATTTTTCAACATAGTTTCCGCCAATGATCAAACACTTGTCAAAGTGGGTGACCAGTTTTTGTATACCATCGTCAAAGAAACTTCCCGCCAGTTTCAATAACCACGACTCCACAGCATTTTTTGTGTTTACCAAGCTCGCGCTTCATGTGCAGGAACAAGTGATAGTCGAACGGCGCCAAGTCCGGGCTGTACGGTGGGTGATCGAACTGCTCCCATTGAAACTGTCGAATTAACGATTAAGTGACACCAGCAGTATGGGGCCGAGCATTGTCATAGAGCAACACAATTCCTTTACTGAGCATTCCTTTCGTTTGTTTTGAATGGCACGCCTTAGTTTTGTTAAAGTCCCATAATATCGTGCAGCATTAATGGTTTCACCTCTGGGAAGAAATTCAGTACGCAAAACGCCTTTCCTATCCCAGAAGACAGTGCACATGATTTTTTGTGATGACATTGTCACTTTGAACTTTTGTTTTTTCGGAGAATGAGTGTGTCTCCACTCCATCGATTGTTGTTTCAATTCTGGTGTGAAATGACACACCCAAGTTTCATCACCTGTCACAATTTGGTTTAAAAAGTTTTCTCCCTCATCACTGTACCACGTGAGAAATGTCAGGGCACTACCAAGTCGCTTTGTTTTGTGAACATCAGTGAGCATTTTTGGAACCCATCGGGAACACAGTTTGCGATAATTCAAGCGGTCAGACACAATTTCGAACAAAACAGTACGTGAAATTTGTGGAAATGCCTCTGAAATAGTTGCCATTGTGAAGTGTCTGTTCTCATGAATTGCTTCATCAACTTTCCTTACCAAATCATCGGTGACAACAGAAGGCCAACCACTCCGAGCCTCGGTGTGGACATTTGTTCGACTGCATTAAACATTCTTACCCACTTTCTCACCATTCCATCACTTATCGCATATTCACCGTAAACTTCTGTCACTTGATGATAAATTTCAGCCGGTTTAACATTCCTCGCATTCAAAAATTTAATCACTGCATGAATCTCACAGTCAGTGGGAGAACTAATTGTCTTAACATTTTGAATGCGCACAGCAAACTGAAAACACAACATAGAGCAACCAAAATGGCGACAATTGAAAGTCAGTGAACAAGAAAAACTAGTGCGCATGCGCGGGATGCCTACTACAGCACTGCGATGGTGCTAGAATGAAACGGTACTTAGTTTCCGAATACGCTACGTACTATGGCAATCCCACCAGATACAAAGCATGATCTTTTTGTTAGTCAAATTGTGCTTTGTGACACTGAGGAAGGGCTCACCGGGTGCAGATCAACCTCCTTTTCCCCCTGTGTAGTTAAAGTAAATCGACTTTTCCTCACAAGTGATAATAAAGTTTAGAATTTTGTCTTTCTATTGATAATCGAGCAGATGAGTGCAGGCTTGAACACATCTATCTTTATCTGCTTGAGTCTGTGCATGCGGTATCCAGCGATTGAATTTGTACGTCAAATTTTTGCAATGCATAGTACGACTAATGGACATGACACTAAAGTCTAACTCCTTAGCAAGCTCTCGAGTGCTTGCATACTAATCTTCTTACACAAGTTCTTGCAGGCAGACCTCATCAATATCAGTAGACCAACCAGGGTGCTCTGCTTCCTGAATGTCATCCTTTGTTTTTAACTTTCGATACCAAACCTTCACAGTGTCATACGATACAACATTAGTACCTAAAGCAAATCATGTGGCAGAATGTCACCCGTAGCTGACTTTTTGCAACAAAAATTGAAAGAAATGATGGCTCTAATATGGTAGTGTGATAGTTAAATTTCAGACTCATTGTACTTAGTGATAACGATATAGTTTTACAGATTTCAGAACACAGTATTCTAAAGCAAGCCTCTTTCTTTCAAATGCCAAAAATCGTTTGACAAAATATAATTAAACATGCCAGCGTGAACTGTTTGCACAGACAATATTTGTGGTGGTGCAAAACTTTTGTTAAAACCCGATAATTACCATTACCTATGGCCATGTTCTTTAAAACAACCACCTTCATAGAAAAACAAAATTATCTGGAATTATAAGCTCATCTTATAGATGGTAACACATTTTCAAGTTATGAGAATGAGAAAGAATAAATAAAATTCATTTTTCAGATTTACCTGTCCATTTTCCATAGTAATGCTAATGACAGTTCTATACCACTTGATGGATAAATTTATAGGATTTTCTTCAATACTATATTTCAAGTTATTTTCATCCAGTACACAGAAAGCATCTTGACTTCCATCTTCAAAAATTATGTTATGATCAACAATAATTTTCATGCTCTAAAATAAGTTTGATGAAAAAGTAATTAGTCTAACATAAATTCTACAAATGATAAGAATGGTGTAAAAAGAGACAGAAGAACAGCATATTGATATATCTATTACACTACATATATATTTAAACAGTTTTAGAAAGTACTAATGAACTATTTTTAAATGATTTCAAAATAAAATAAAGTATTTTGTAGTATTGATGTAAAAAAGAAATTCACAATATTTTGAGTAATAGATATTTAATTACTACACATGACTAGCAATACAGTATTCAACTATTAATGCAGTTTCTTTAAACAAATACTAGATCGATAAGCTATTCCTCTTTTAATTACATAAAATGTTCTGTTCAATCAGTTACACTGTGGAGACCTTTTAGCTTTATAAGACCTGGAAAATATGAAACCCAACTTTGCCATTGCCATCTTTTAAATCCCAGCTGAATGTGCTAATCATACCATGGGAGAGTATATGGGAAAATATGATAATTCCTTATAGTTCTTCGCACTCAGTTGGCAATGCCGAAGAGATGATGGGCTATTATCTGCCACGTTTTAGTTCAGGCACAACAGTAGACTTATTAGGTTTTACAGAGCATAGAAAGGTGAAACATAAACTGTGCCCTTGCCACAATTCAAAATAGGGATCTTTCATCTGCTAGCTGGATATGCTAAACCAAAAAGAAATGTGATAGTTCCCTATGGTATAATATAAGTATCAAGTCGCACAAAAGAAAGCTACATGATGAAAAACATGAAAATCTAAATTAATCCGATGAAGAAAACTAACTCAAAGAGTTACAATGAAAAAAAGTAACATTTAATACAAACCATCAGACTTTTTATCCTCATACATGCTAAGAACGTTTTTAGGACTATTTGCTTAACATCAGAATAAAACAAACAACATGAATCATGAAAATTACAAGGTTTAAAAATTAGGGTTTGTATTTTTTTTAAAAAAAAAAAGAAAAGAAAAAAAGAAAGAAAGAAAATTACAATCAATTTTACTACTTTAATTTAATTTTTCAATGACTTCAATTAATTTATGTTAATGTAGTATTTTGAAGCAAGCAACACTAAACACAAAAAGAAAAAAACTATTTCAGTTTTAGTTTGATATTAACAAAAAAATATATAAAATTGTGATAAAAATTTTGAACATATGTCTAGTTAGTGCAGATCTTAAAAAATGTGTTACAATTTCAAATACATAACAGGCTCCTGTAGTTTTAATTTTAGTTTAATTTAATAGCATTTTCAGACTTCTACAAAGCATGTTTAATTTCAGATTATTTTCCTATTCTTTCTTTTCATTACATTTTGACATTTAAATTCCTGAACATAATTTAACTGAGTTGCCTAAAGCAATTCTAATTTAACTGACGCACTGCAGTTTGTTTTTAATATAAATTTGCTTGATCAGCTGCATCATTTTCTTTTTACATTCCTCATGGCTTTATTATTAATTGCCTTCTCATATTTTCTAAGTCTAAAGGATGTAAGGAAAATACACAAAATGAGTCTTTAAGCAATTCATGCTCTATGCATTCCAAGTGAATATATAGTATAGGTCCTTCTGTTCTCAAAGCAAAAAAGCTATGTTTTTACTTCCTTGTACGAAGTAAAAAGGAAATATTGTAATTGCGAAAAGTTTCAGGCATCTTATTTCAAAGCAAATATCCACTTTCACTGCTATCGAATGAAATTTAAGGATGTTTTTGCGTGGCATCTGTACGTAAGGACAGGATAAAGGACTCTTTTCCCAAAAAAAAAATTGTAAAACTAATTTTAAATGAATTTTGAAGAGAATTTTTCATGGCATCTGTGCAAACGTACGTATGCATCTCGCATAACTCAAAAACGAGTAGCCTCAGAACGTTGAAATTTTGTATATAGGACTGCTATAGCATGCAGATGTGCACCTCATATTTGGTTGCAATCAGCCATGCCAAAAGTATATAAATATATGTATATATATATTCACTCTGTTACTCTGCTCAGTGATCTCAGTTTTTTTATTCTTATATGTTTGTAAATTGTGCATTTTTTTTGCTTTAAAAATGATTGAATTATGTTTTTTTATCTTCCGGTTAAGGTTTTTATGCCTTTAGTAAATCTGTATGCAATATTTTTAGAATTATCAACAATTTAAAAATTGTCTAAGTGCTACTAGGCCTAATAATTTTTTCGATGGTGGCCAATGCTTGTTTACATTTAAAACAGCAGAATACAGTCAAAAGTCGTTAATCCGGACTCATCGGGACTTCGGCGATTCCGGTTTATCAATTTTTCCAGATTATAGATCATCAATTTAAATCTGGTAAAATGGCATGCAGAAATTATAAAATTAAAAATATGAAACCATAATTTATTAAATAAAGAACAATTATGATCTAAAGGGTATCAAAATTTACAAAAAGAAAAAGCTTAATATTTATTTGTTTACTTTATTAAACATTTCTTTCAATGTAAGTTGCTTCATTTCATGTGATACTTTCTCTTTAATTCTATTAAACAGACATAATTTCTTGTTTAGTTATAAAGTTCCGCTGTTCAAGTCCTATAATTGCTGTGTCGAGAATACCAACTAATTTGTCAATCGAAATTTTTTTGTTTTCAATAATCTCTGTGTCACTTTCTTCACTATTGGAAGCAAATTATAATGACGAGGAACTTGATTTAAATCATATCAAAGACGGAGTATACATCGAGATGAAATACAACATTTAGTAAGGAATTATAAGCCAAATAAAATAAAAACATCTGCCCTGAAGATAAGGATAGTGCTGACAGATCAACTTCCAATTCATTGTGCGCTGCGGCAGAGCAGCATGAAGTTGATAAACAGATTTCGGAATGGTTAGATAAACAAAGGATATGCCTTTATCCATTTTTTGCAGCAATTCCACTTTATATCTTTATACTTTATAAGACTTTATACTTTCCACTTTATACTTTATAAAAATATCTTAATACTCAGCTTCCGACTAACCCAAAAGATCTCGCACTCAAATTAGTAAACGAAGTCACCGATAAATTACACTGCATTGAATCTATGAAGACATTTACTTCCCCACCAGCAATAGAAATGCATTCAAAGTTACAAGAAGAAATTCAACAAAATCAGTAAATTTTAGCAAGCATTCAGAACACCCCGAAGGTCGCAAATTCTAAAACAGATGATAAAACGATAAATCAGAACGATTGGCAAACTCCAAAGAAGACATCGAAAAATACCGAGTCTATCTCACCACCAGATGTTCCACAAAATAACAGATTTGAAACTCTTAACGAAAATAACGAAGCTATGGAAGTTACAAATGAAACACAAACGATTACAGCACAGAATAACCCAGCAAATAAAACGAAAATTCCCCCCTTAGTCATTCCGGAAAACGATATTGATTGGCCTGAAAAAGACAAAATGCTAAGAAAAATATGTAAAAACGAATTCAAAGTTACAATCAAAGCCAGACAGATTTTCCTTTACACTACCACCGAAGCCGATAAGCTACAGTTGATAAATTCCAGAAAGCACAGATTAGTTTTCATGCATACCAAATTTCCTCAGCCTCTTCAATAACACTTAAGAATATCCCAAGATCCTACACCGAGCAAGCAATTCACACAGACTTAGAACGCAGAAGCTTCCCTATCATTAAAGTAAAGCAATTCCCGAAGAAAGCAGAAGACCAAATTATCCGTTTACCTATATTTTTCCTTGAACTAAAAAGAAATTCTGCAGGAGAGAAAATTCATCAAGTAAACAATATGTTCAGATTCAATATCACAATAGAAAAGTATCAGCCCAGAAAACGCCCAATTCAATGTTTCAATTGCCAGGAGTTTGGGCACTCCCAAAATAACTGCTTTAAAAGGTCAGATGCTGTAAGTGCAGACAAAATCACAGATCCAATACCTGTAAATTAAAACCAGATGAAAAACCAACTTGAATTTACTGGCACAAAATCACATTCCTTCTTATCGTAGTTGTGAGGTATACAGAAAAAGATTCATCATTTAGAGAAGACAAAAAAACCACAAGAAATTCCCACTCAAGATGACTTACCCGAGTTCATTTAAGCTCCAGCCCAAACTAATCAAGAAATGCCTAAAAACCTTTACAGTGACAAAGTTAAGCCGAAAAACCTGCAGAAAAATTTAGCATAAATCATTAACATTTTCAAAGATTAGAAAACCTTTTATCTCATGAAATTAATAAGCATATTAGCTCAGAGAATTAAATCAGCTAAAATATGCAGAAACTTTGTCTAGCTTAACCAAGCCATTGAGATTATTTTAAACTTTGCACATTAAGATTAATTCGCAACTTCTCTCAAGACAAGCATAGCCAAGCGGCAGAAATCCTCAAGCTGTGGATCCTCACATCGTGGGTTCTGACTTCAGCCCCACTCCAGACCAAAAATGGCTCTTCTTTTCTCCTACAATTTTTACCAAAAGATGGCGCTGTGCTTACTACTCTTCTAGAGACACTGCACTAGGTACAAAAAGTACGTTCTATCTTACTGGATTCAAATGATCATTAAAGATACCCTATTTATAATATATTTTTAAAAACCGCACAAGGCTGATTGCCTCTTAATTGCGTTACAACATAGGCATAGTTAAAAAATGAACAAAATGTAATGCTGTTAAGTGAACCTAGGGCCAGAGTGTCACTATGGTAAACAAATATAGTGAATTTTAAAGAGTGCATTTATTCTATTGTGGTTTATGCGATATCGAAGTAGATTTAATTCAATCCAATAAGTTTAAATGAAATGCAAGAAAAAATGGGTATAATTTAATATTCCATACAAGGAAGTCATGTGGTGCACACATCAGATTTTTTGTAAAATATTTTTCACTCATAGAAGAAACACTTATATCAGACTTGTTCAAAATGTGCACATTATTCTTCAAAAATGTAAACAAATTTTAGTTTCCAATTAAAATGAAAATAGCAGATGCAAATAACATTGAATTATATGCATCTACGCATGT